TATTCTTTCTCTTTCTTATTTTTCTCTCCTAAATGTTGATTTGATGGGTGTTAACGAAATTTTATTTTTTAATTAAAAAATGCTCTAATGTTAAAGAAATTTTTTTTATTTTAGAAAATTTTGTTTATGTATAAATTAAGCTTCGTGGAAATTTTTATTTTTTATTCGAAAAAAAAATAAAATTTCCACGAAGCTTAATATATAAGCTTCGTGGAAAATTTTATTTTTTTATTCAAAAAAAATAAAATTTCCACGAAGCTTAATATACACATAAACAAAAATTTTTCTAAAATAAAATAAAATTATTTTTAATTTTTTTGGTTAGTTTTCTAGTTGTGGATGATATCATCCACAACAAGTACAAAATTTTTCCTTAATATGTTCTTCTTTTTTTGGTTAAAAAAATATTTTTCAAATATTTATCAAATAATATTGGTAAAATCGTTTTATTTCTCTATATTTTATTTTTTAAATTTATTTTTGAAAGAAAAAATTATTTAAAAATTTAATTTTGCATTTATTAAAAGGGTACATTTAGGCGCGAGGCCATAACGGCGCAAAGCCATAACTTGCTTAAAGATTACCGAATATTACCAAATTTAGTATTAAACGATTCCTCTCATCGAGCTGAAGAGATTGGTACCAAAATTGATAAGGGTCGGAAATTTTCCAGCAAGTTATGGCTCTGCGCCTTTGTGGCCGCGCGCCTAATTGGGCATGTCCCTTATTAATATTATTTGGAATTTTTACTTTATTTATTCCATATTCGTTTGGATATCCTTCCGAGTTCCGATTTCCTATTTTCGAAAAAAAATTTTGATTTCCGATTTCCGAGTTCCGACTTTTGAGCCAGTTCCGATTTCCGTCTCTCCGATTTCCGACACCTCTGACTGTTCCAACACACCTCTTTTCCTAATAAACACTTGCCTCATAATAATAAACGCCTATCTAATATTAAAATAACGGTGTGGTATAAGGTTGGCGGATAGTTTGAAATCTTCGGATATCCGGATCTGGTATCCGAATCGAAAATTTCCGGATATCCTGCCTTTTTCGGATTCAGATATCCGGATCCTTAGTTGTTTTATTCATGCTAATTTATTTTCTCAAAAAAATTTTTTATGAAATATTTTTAAACATGTTCTTTAAGGTATTTTTATTTCAATTTTAAAAATTCGTAAAATCAAAGAAAAATTTTTTTATTTAATTTTCTCATGCTAAATTACAAAATATATTTATTATTTTTATTAATTGTGGTACGTCCTCTATTTAAATTTTCAAAGGAAAGAACTGCTCTTTTCATTGTCTTTAGCAAGGCAAGTTTATTAGAAGGATTATTACAAGGATTCTTATTTAGAAGGAAGAGGGGGAATGTAGATTAGAAGAAGAGACACGTTCATTTTTTGAACTAAATCCAAACTCGATCCAAAGAAACCCCCCAAAAAACAACTCATTCCTGGTATGAATGGCAGTCAAAATTCCTTCCTTCACCCTCTTGAATTATGATCCATTATCCCTGAAATTAAAAAATTCCTAAACTTCCTCAAGGCATACTATCGATACGGGTCTGTCCTTTCAGCAGAATTGACTGTAACACTAAATTGACTAGAAACTAGCTTTAATTTTCTTCATTTTTTGAAATTAATTTTAGTCTTGTGCCAACATATTTAACCAATTGCTTTATCGCTACACTTATGGACAGTTACAACTCAACGTTCTACCTCCACAACTCATCTTTTATCTGTTAGGATTTCTATTTTTGTCCAAAACGTTTTATACACAACATTATTTTTTCATATTATTGGATAGGCATTGAATCGTTTACATGCTGTTTTCTTCCCTTTAAGCTATCAAAATGTTTGGGGGAAAGGTAAAATTGAGGGAAAGGTTTTAGGGGTATTTCTAAGTAGCCTATTAATTTTGGCTATTCAGAATCCGTTGTGTTCTAAAGCTAGTTGTGGCTTCAGTCTAGTTGAATATATGCCGATTATCTTGTAGGCATCAGGGATGTAACGGGTTAACCGAAACCCGAACAATTTCCGATGGGGAATCCAATACCCAATCCGAAAAATTTTCGAACCTCCGTTTCAACTTTTAACCTTCTCTACCGTATCTCTCAACTATCGATATGAAATATGCCCGAAAGTTCTGAAATATGCCATAGACTTGCATTACAGACCTGGTTTTGAAACATGTACTCGTAGCAAGTAAAAACACCATTTTTCAGCTCACCCTTAAAGAGAGCACTTAACATGACTTTTTTATGATAATGTTTGTTCCTAGATAATCTCTCTCTAATCTCTATGATATTAATGATAAAGTGTTCTTTCTGTCTTGCTCATTAATCATAGCAAACCTCCTTCATACCCCGTTGCCATAGGTTCGAAAATTGAAAAGCAAACTGGCAACATTTTTAAATGTCCAGTCTTTCCATCTGCGCCATAAAATAAATTAAATTTGAAAATTAATTTTCAGAGACATATAACACACAATTTGCTTCATATGGCACTTAAGTACATTGTGGGGGTTATTTTATTATTTAATTGCTAATAATGTTATTTTAATTCAAACGTCTAGGTAATTTAATTATTATTTAATTTCAACTGGTATTTTAAACAGTTGTGTATTATTAAATTTATTAACACGTGATATGCCCTTAATGTTGGCAATAGTTCTGTGTACTCCAATAATGTAGCGGTTATAGCTTAATTCAGTTACTAATATAGTAAGTTGGTTGTCAAGTTTAATTTTAAAATTTATTTTAAAACTTTTTACAATTTGTAAATTGTAAAATTTATATTTATGCTTTGATTAAAACTTGATTATTTCTAAATAAACTTGAAACTTTTTACAATTTGTAAAATATAAGTTTATTTAAAAAAGTTTCAAAGCTTTAAATAAACCTTAAAACATTTTTGAGGCTTTGAAAGTCTATTAATTTAAAACTTAATACAATTACAAATTGTAATTTAAATAATTTTTTAGAACTTTTTTTAAACCTGAAACTTTTACAATTTGTAAAACTTTAATTAAAACTTACAACTTGATTTCTTCTAAATAAACTTGGAAACTTTTACAATTTGTAAAACTTTAATTAAAACTTACAACTTGATTTCTTCTAAATAAACTTGGAAACTTTTACAATTTGTAAAACTTTAATTAAAACTTACAACTTGATTTCTTCTAAATAAACTTGGAAACTTTTTACTATTTGTAAAAACCTTAAAACTTAAATAAAACTTAAAACTTGATTTCTTCTAAATAAACTTGAAACTTTTACAATTTGTAAATTGTTAAGTTTAATTTTAAAAAAAATTTTAAGGTTTTAAATAAACCTTAAAACTTTTTTTACAACCTGAAAAGTTTATTTTATTTAAAACTTTTTACAATTTGTAAAATTGTAATTTAATTAAAAACTTTTTTTGAGAAACAAAGTTTATAATATTCTCTCATTCTCTCATAACTCATTTAAATCCTGAAACTTTTACAATCCTGAAACTTTTACAATCCTTCATAAATCATCTAAGCAATTCATGTACATTTAAACAATTTTTATTTTAAATTTCGTCTAATTTTTAGTTAAAATTTCGGAAAAAATTTTAATTTATCTCACATTTATATAATCTTTCTTAATTCTAATAAACGCCTACCTACATGTTAAAATAACTGTGTGGTCTATTCGTGCTTAGTACAATTAATTTATTTTCTCAAAAAAATTTTTTTCTAAAATTTTTTTTGATTTTTTTCAAAAATTTTTTTCCTAAAATATTTTCCTCAAATTCCTATAAATCCAAAAAATTTTTTTTTAATTTTTCTCACGCTTAACTACAAAATTTACTATTTATTTAGCACATATCTTTACTTATTATATTTTATTTACAAGCAAATCTCATTTATAAATTCCTCTAACCTCATTATAAGCCCTATATTGGATACCCCCAATGCTATAGACACCTCTATTTAATATAAAATTTTGGTTGGTCCCTAGATTGGAATATTAGTGAAAGAATAAAGAAAAATACGACAATTTAGGAAATACCCTCTATTTAAGCTACACCTCATTATAAGAGACAAAGATTCGGTGTCCACTATAAGATACCCTAAAATGGTAGCTTATAATGTTTTGATTATTAAGTATTATTTTTATTTGAGTTTAATTTCATAATTGACTGGAAAATTTAAATTACCCCGTATTTTGTACTTTTAACCACTTTAAGCTTTAAGTAGCTTTATCTTTTTTGAGAAGCTATGCCATTTATAATTTGTACTTGAGACAACTTGCACTCTTATTTTCCTCTCATAATTGGGGATTTTAATATTTTAAAAATTTTCTCCGATTAATTTAGTTCCACTTTAATAGAGACTAGACAAGGATGGGTCGAACCGTACGAGATATCTATAAAAATATAGAAATTCGATAACCGAGATTTTTGTTGGATATCATGGTTGGACGCAAACGGAAAAAAATCTTCCTTAATCCGTAGTTCCTAAGTTACAAAAAAACTATGCAGTTTACGCAGTCCTCAGTTGCGTCGTCCAGCCATGTCCAAGATCTCGTCTTGATCCGGTCTCTACCCTTTACTATATATACACTACACGATTGGGATTTAAGGATGCGCGGAACAGAATCCCGCGCGGGATTTTGCGGGATATTGCTCCCGCAATCCCGTACTCTTTTCGATTTGCGGGATGTTCCGGGTATACGGGGTTACCCCCGCGGGAGAAACCCCATAAATACGATTTTGCTGACCTCTAATCGGGATATATTGTAAGGATGATTCACCTAATGCATTTAAAAAGGAAAAAGAGAATGCATTAGTCGATGCCCCGTTAGCTCAGTGGTAGATCCTGTATGTGGTGACTACGAGGAGGTCTCAGGGAATCCTGGTGGCTAGACTTTTGCTAAACTTTTTTTATATCTTGGGAGAGTTTCAGTCCCTTTACTTTAAAAAATTTTTTTATTATTTTTTTATTTACTCAGACACATTTTTCTTCTAAAAAATGGAAATTATTACTGCCCAAAATTTACAATTTATTTTAAATCTAGTTAATATTTTTTCTATTTTTCTCTCTATTCTCTCAATAATTTTTTTATTAATTGTGATACGTCCTCTATTTAAATTTTCAAAGGAAAGAACTGCTCTTTTTATTGTTTTTAGCAAGGCAAGTTTAATCTTTATTGTTCATAGCACGTCCAAAACCTGGAACAAACCCGAGCCTAGTGTTAACGGCAGTCCAGAACGGTGACCAAAAGCATCTTCTGCTAAAGTTTTCGCTGTTTCCTCGTTTTTTCCTTCTTGTCCCCGAGATTCCATATATACAGGGTGACAAGAAATAAATGTCATTTAGTCATAACTTTTAGTCATAACACTTCATTTAATCATAACTTTTCTCCTCATTAATATTCGTTGACAATTTTACACTCATTTTTCTCATTTAGTACCGGAGTTGAATCCTATGGATTACTTCTCCAGGTATTTTTGAGGGAAGGATCTGTTCTTAATACCCAAAAAAGTTTCGGTACGCTCCTGTAATCGCTCGTTCGGGAACGGGAGGAAGTCTCACCCACGGAGGTGCGAATTTTTACCAACAAGTTTTCCACGCGCCTTCAACATTGTATTCAAGGGAAGGATAGGCCCTTCAAAAATTCTTGATTATTCTCGTTCCACGATTAATTCTCTATCATATAAGCTTTATTTGATCCCATTATCTTATATTTGAATAAAGTTATGGCATAAAATGTGTGCCCCATATCTTTCTTGTCACACTGTACATAATGGAGATGTCCAAAGGCTATTGGTCTTGAGTCTTGACTCAGGACTTTTCCTGATTTCTTTGGTCTTGTTTTGGAGTGTAGTCTCTGCCTTGAAGTCTTGGTCATGGTCTCGAGTCTTTAGACTTAGAAAATTTTCGGACTTGTAAGTCTCAAAAAAACACTCACGAATAGCAAACATTATTTCCCGTGAAAAGATGAAAAGAAAAAGAATTTGAGGGGAAAATATTTATTATTAGCTTTTTTCTCTTTTCTATTAAAAGAGAATTTAATATAGAAAAATTAAGTATTTTATCAAAAATTAGTTTTGCAAGATGTTGAAATAAGCAATAACTAGCGATCGGATTTTTAGGTTATAAAGTATTTTATTTTGCCATATTATTATGATGAATTAAGCTCAAATCCGTTATTATTTTTAAAATTTTGATCATCCTCCAGAACCCCCATTCCCCCCCCATCCTCCAGACATCCTCAAGAACATTCTCACCTATTCAAACCAATTTAACGTTTTGCAGCCTAAAATAGGTTGTCCATGGACTCTTCCACAACCTCTACAACAAATACTCCAAGGACATCCTCTACAATAAATCAAATAAATCGCCCAGGAACTTCTCTAAAAACTCCTCTAACAATCAGTGATGCGTAAGTACTAGTTCTGGAACTGGAGTTCCAGTTCCGGATGCAGTTCCAGTTCCGGAAGTGTCTGGAACCGGTTAGGAACTGGAACCGGTTCCAGAAATGGAACTGCCAAAATTTTGGAACTTACGCATCACTGCTAACAATAAACCCTAGGGGCACCCTCCAGAAAGCCCTCAAGACATTAACAACTCTTGCCTTTCCTTAATATTAATTTAAAATTAATTTAAGTCTTGTGCCAACATACTTTTCCAATTGCTTTTAATTTTGAGCTATTTACAACAAATAACACATGTTTCCTCAAATTTTTTATTTGTTTATTTTTCATTACCTCTTGGAGCTGTTTTGAAAACAACCTCATTTTTTCATGTTACTGGATTGGCATTGAATCGTTTACAAGCTGTTTTCTTTCCTTTGAGTTATCAACGGGTTTGGAAGAAGAGGTAGACTTGAGGGAGGGATTTTGTGTGTGGAAGGGATTTTAGGAGGGATTTTGGTGATTATTTTTGTCTAATCACTCCTCAAATTATTAAACAAACGGCTGTTGATAGTACTTGAATTTTTGCCAAAATTAAATATAGAAAAATCAAATGAAGGGTTGTAAATGTACCGTAAAATGAAGGGCGAGTTTAAGGTCCTACCTGTTGTGTCCGCACTTGCAGAAAGAATATAAATGAAAATAAATAACCCAGCATTGGGTTGGATGGTGGCAGTCGGTTGTGCTTCGGTTTGGGCCCTTTCCGTGATGGTTCAATTCCATCTCCCATCCAAACAATTTTTCCACAGCATGAAAACATCGTATGTTATAGTACCAAGCTGCGAATTCGATATTTTTGATACCATTCTACATAGAGTGGACCCCCGCCCCAGAGTTGCTGCTGCTAACATGGGAAACTCACAAACTGTAAGCCAAAACTTTGAATTTTTAGATACCAATTGATAGAGCAACATCGATTTACTCTTACAGATTTCCGGCTTTTTTGGCTCCGGATATGAAACTAAAAAGTTATGGGGCTTCAAAGTTTGCAATAGTTAGGAAAGACTCCCTTATAAATGTGGGAAGAAGGAAGAGAAAGATCCAGCTGGCTAGCATTTAAAAAGCTTAGGTGGGGGTTTAAGATACCGTATTTCCTAAAATAGTACTCCCGGGAGTACTATTTTTCAACCCTCCTCCAAAGGGGAGTACTATTTAAGGGGGGAGTACTAATTCAGGGGGGAGTACTATTTTTCAACCCTTTTTTCATTTATCATAAGAAAATTTATTTCAAAATTCTAAATCAATTTGAGTTCGTTATCTGAAAAATGCCTGATCCGACCCGGATTTTCAAAAAATTTAATTATTAAAAGCTCTCAAAAAATATTCAAATTATTATAAAATTGAGCAAATTTCGGGACATTTAAACACAAGTGACATAAAATAAGGGGTATTGAGGAAAATCAAGAAGGATATTAGTTAATTTGGAGTGATATTGAGGAGTATAATGGGATTTAATCGATTAAGGGTAGATATCTAAATTTACCACTATATCCATCTTGAACTCCCGACCAGTTAATACACTTGTATGTGTCAAATTCCCTAGATATCCTTCAAAAACACTGATATCCCCCTTAATCTTTTCAGACTCATAATCTTACGAATCCGCATATATCCGCCGATATTATTCAATGTCACTGAGAAATTGATGTACCTAATCGCTGTGTCCAGGGATTTATCAGCATTAATCACCGTTATCCTCCACATCTCTTTTTCTTCGAATATCCTTACGAATTCTAGGATATCCATATTTAGGCGTGATAACAAGTAGGGTTTCGTCCCGAACGCTCGGGAATGAGTGCGTCCCGAACACTCATCCTTCATTTTTCTCTCAAATTCCTTTATCAAACCATACTACTTGATCTAGTTAGAGATGAACTAGGGGAATTGGAACTTTTAGACCCCACTTGATCAATCCAGAACATATTATAGGTTAAAATTTCAGTTCGTTTTCGGTAAGCGAAAACTGTCCGGTTTCGGTTATCGAAGAATCAAGTGAAACCGACAACCCTAATCAGAATAAATAAAATAATTCAATAAGTAAATCTCAATAGAATAATTCAATGTTTCTTTTATGATTTTTTTCAAATATAGGGGAAAAATATTTTAGGGGGGAGTACTATTTTAGGGGGAGTACTATTTAAGGGGGGAGTACTATTTTTCAACCCTCCTCCAAAGGGGAGTATTATTTAAGGGGGGAGTACTAATTCAGGGGGGAGTACTATTTTAGGAAATACGGTATATTAAAAGAGAAGGTGAATATGATTTAATGCAAAAATAAAGCTGGTATTACCGCGGCTGCTCCATAATTCTCAAGCTTTCTCTAGATGGTAGGCACCTGTACGTGGTGAGCGAAAGCCTAGCAATAACTGCCAGGAGGTCGCAGGATCGAAGTCTGCCCAGGAAGACGGAAGACCTCGCTTAAGAAAGACGGAAGACCCGGGAAGACCTCGCTCTTACTAAAGTTAGGCCATTCATGGCAAAGGTTATCCTCAAAGTTCCTCAAAGGTCCTGACTTCCTTTTCCATGGGATTTGGGATATTTTGGTGGTATGACTGTTTATGAATTATATCATTAAACAAAATATTGCTTATGCTGTAGAAAATTTATTGGATAGGCGATGGAATAGAACCATCCTGGAGCCATTCTGGAAGACCATACGCACAACCAACTGTGTCCCCCAACCATAAGAAGGGGTATTTTTATTCGTCTATGTTCCTTCTTCAAGTACAAATACAACAACTAGCCCTACTTCCTTTTTAAAATTTTAATTTTAAAAATTTAAATTTCCCAGAAACATAAAATACATAATTCTCCTTATATGGCTTTTAAGCATATTGTGGAGTGTATTTTTTTATTTATTTGTTACAAATGTTTTACAGATTCCAATTATTAGGTATTTTAATAGTTAAATATTTAATTTAAATATTTTTAACAGTGTTTTATTTTATAATTTGATGATACGTGATATGCCCCTAACTTTAGCTATAGTTTTGTGTACTCCAATATATATTGCAGTTATAGCTAAATTTGTTTATGAACGTAGTAAGTTGGTTGTTAAGTTTAATTTAGAAATTTATTTTGAAACTTTTTACAATTTGTAAAATTATAAAGTTTATATTTAGGCTTTGATTAAAACTTGAAATAAAAATTTAAATAAACTTGGAAACATTTTACAATTTGTAAAAACCTTAAAACTTTAATTAAAACTTAAAACTTGATTTTATAAATAAGCTTGAAAACTTTTTACAATTTGTAAAAACATTAAAACTTTAATTAAAACTTAAAACTTGATTTTATAAATAAACTTGAAACATTTTACAATTTGTAAAACTTGATTTTAGTTAAGAACTTGATTTTTTAAATAAACTTGGAAACTTTTTACAATTTGTAAAATTATCAGGTTCTAATTAAAACTTTATTTACAATTTGTAAAACTTGATTTTTTAAATAAACTTGGAAACTTTTTACAATTGTATTTTAAAACTTACAATTTGTAAAACTTGATTTTACTTAAACACTTTATTATTTCTAAATAAACTTAAAACATTTTACAAATTGTAAATTGTAAAGTTTTTAATTTAAACTTAAATTAAAACTTGAAACTTTTTTAATTAATGTAGAAACTTTTACAATTTGTAACTAAAAACTTAAAACATTTTTCAGAAAAAAACAAAAATGTTGTAGATGGGAATACATTAAATGACAAAACCCGCGTAATGATTGTTTGTCTGGCCAGCCTAATTCCTTGTCCATTATACCTTTTGCTTAATCCATACAACGCTAATTATTACTCAAATGATTCGTCTACAATACTTGTTATAATAATATTTTCATGTATTAACACAACTGTGCTTCAATGTGCAGAAGAAATTATTTTATTGGCCATATCCAAAGAATTTAGACAATTGGTCAAATGCCAATTCGTCAAGGCCAAGTTTCAAAGTAAAG